AGCATCGTGCGCATGGACCACAAAACCATGATGAGTGAACTAATGTTCCATAGTCTGGAGTTGTAGGCTTTATGGTGGTTGTTTTGCTTCAGTTAATGTGCGACATTCTACTGTGTTGTGCCCCAATAGAGGTCATGAGTTATGTATGTCAACTGCGACGAGAAAGTGTCCTAATGTGAGACATGTCAGAAGAGATGTGTCCTTGTTATAAGAATTCCAGAAATTAATTTGCAGTTTGCCAGTCTACTACTTAGAGTCCAGATCGTACTCAGTGGTTTCGATTGCCATACACAGTTAGGAGGCATCTACTGCATGAGTCTGCGTTCTTCGGTGACGGTAAGTGTAGGGTAGGTAACCCCTCCCGCTTATGTGGTTGGTGTGCTTCGTAACAGTTTGTCTGGCAGTTTGTTGCGAAAGGGGTTATGCAGGAAGCAGATTTTGACCTCCAATAGCGTTATCGATATCAAAAATGGCTGGTGTTGAAACCAGAGTTTGGTTTTGGACAACGGCTAAAACTGGTGTTAGTAGGGTTATTCTTGGGAATAGGGTTTCCACCCCAGGCCTAGGGTCTGACACTGGGATGGAGGCAAGCGTTGGCGTTTTTGGACTCTGCTTACGGCATTTCACGCAAGAAAGGAAAATCTCATCTTCCCTTCCCGAAGTAGATCTTGACGTATATTAAAAGACTGCCCGTGAACTGCAAATCGACATGGATTTTTTGTAACAGTACTACTGCTTATGGGTGTTACAGATCGACATGTCCGTCGCGTAAGTAATCAATTGGAGATAAGGTCATCTTTCAATGGCGTGAAATCCGAACTCTTGGCTCTGCTCAAGACCGCCTAGTGGTTCGAAGCGAGGCTCGCTCTGAATGTTATGAATAAACAGCTAACGGAGACGGTAAATAGCTTCGTATAGACTGGTTTGCTGGTAAGACGACATAACCGACATTGTTGCAATGATGTGCAGTACAGAAATATAAAAGAAGTGACCAAATTAAAATATTTATTTTCTTTAGCCATATTTTGTACACGACTGACCAAGAAATAACTTTTAAACTCATCCACCCCTAGACTACCAGTTTAACAACGATACCAGGACCAGAAAAATGCCAGACAATGTAATCGCACGATCGTCATATAAAACACTGGGGTGCATTGTGTTTCGAATATGCCCAGTTAGATAATGCCTGTGTCGTGAAACAGACCGCCACTTACCAGGTAGCATTTCATGCCATTTAATGACTTCCTTCAGTACTTTCTCCGAGAGATTGTTAATTTTGACCTCGGATATAGGCACTACAAAGGACTTCCAAGATATGCAAAGAAGGAGGTTAACTTCGGCATTTGTGCTGACTTTGTGAAGTTGAAGTTCCACTGTCTCCAAATGCGTGCGGGACTGTAAATCGGGACTCTACTATACTTTTATATGAAAGAACTTGGCATTAGGTAACTTCACCGTTCTCGTAAAGCACATGGTAGAGGCAGGAAAAGTGCCTTCAAATCCACCTTGACAGATGCATTTCTTGAAAGGGCAGTCATCAGTGAAGCCGAGGCTGCGGAAGCTTATTGAAAATGTCCTCTTGCTGATCCCAATATAGGGCAGGACGGTCCTGATTTAACACGGGGTTCCACAACATTTGCCAAATAAATTCCGTGATTATGGTGTGGGTATTTTTTTTTGTTTTCTGAAATGGAAGAAGTGCAATGAAATGTAGAAGGCGATTCTGCGTCAAAAAGTGTCGACAACCAACAAGGATGACGAAATTGCAGCAATTAACGACTCGGACGCGGACTGACGAGCCATCATCGCCTTAATTACGACTCGCGACGGTAATCACGACAGCTGTTAACTATAGTACGCATATGGCCCCACGGCAGCTAGATACTATAAATACTGCAGTCTTTGTGCCGCCGTCTCTGATGATGGGTCGGAGGGAGAATTCGAAACGTCAAGCCAATAAACTTCTTGTTCCAATGATCGCATCTGCTTCTTCTTCTTCTTCTGCTTCAACTTTTTATTCTTCCTCTACATCTTCTTGTTCTTCTTTCCTTGTTCCTTTTGTTCTTCTTATTCTTCTTCTTCTTCTTCGGAGCTGCTTCCTTGAACTCGCCTGTTAGATTCTATCAGCAGTGCTTGATATTACGCTACTCTGGGTCACGCTATGCCCTGACTGAATTAAAGGCATGCATATACAACAGAATTTTTATGCTGTCAACGACTTATGGACTGACTCTAGCCTGTCAGTAAAATGCGCCTCGAATAAATGAACGTATCGCATTTGATAGACCTGGCCCCGCCGAGGGACTCCCTGGTTCTTGGATTCTTACAGTCGTTTGCTCCGTTTCTTCTCCCATATTCTTTTTCTATCGCGGCTTGCAGTGACCTGAGTAGTCTAATTCAACCGCCGTCTACTCTTTCTCTATGTTATTCAATGTTTGATGGGACCCCGACGGGTCCTTAATAAAAAAGTATTATTATGTTACTAAAGTAAAGGTAATACACGAATAAAGGTCGTGAGCTGTTTCCATACCAATAAGTCCTGTTGTTTATGTTTGCTTGACGGTAAATAATTTTTTTAGAATATTTCTGTTTTAACCGAGAAACAGTTAATACACAGTTTCAAAATGGCATTCAGAGATGAAAGAATGTAGAAACCAATGGGGACGATGACTAAATGAGGTGACTATACCGAACGTCTGCTGGCATGCATTTAACTGATACGTCTCAGGGTGAAATTGTGACACTTGCCCAGTCGTTGTTTGCGGATCTGGCAGAGATGGGGAGAAGTCAGGATCAAAAACAAGAAAGGGATCGTATGCATCGTGAGTGTCCTACCACGAATTCAAATTGTCAAATGAAAGCGTGTGAGACTGCAGGATTTTAGTGCGATTGAATGTGAATACCTGATTAGTGACCATTTTATCCCACACCCTTTCCATATTCTCCTATCTCTAATTACTGGCAGCTTTATAAGCCTCTATTTGTGCCTGGTTGTCTTCGAACACGAAGGTGGATGTCGGGTACAGCAGCCACCGTAGAAGATAGGGAAGATAGGTCTGGACTAAAAGCTAGTTCCTTCGTTGACACATGGGGGAAGTTTTTCTCACTAAGTGTGGCTAAATAAAAGACGTCTTATTTGAAAACAAATGGCAGAAATTGGGGCCGGCTTGTGCCGGGAGTCGAATCTTGATAGACTGCTTGGAAGGCAGCAGTAGCTCGACTGAAATGGGCCTTCGGCTGATAATGAAAATTGTACTCGCGCTCAGCGCTCTTTGTTTTCATGTATATTTTGAAAATAAAATGCAGTAAGGCTTCGAAAAATTGCGGAAATGCATTGGCGTACCTTTTTGGGGAAGAGAGATTTAAGTCAGAGTTACGCAAGGGATTCCAAGACGGATGGCCTTCTAGTCTAGCACCCCAGATGGCAAATGGCATCCTTAACACTACTCCTCGGATTTGATGTCTATTAATGTCTTACTCACCGCTGTGTGGTTTCGCATCGAAGTCTGGGGATACTTAGTTTTTGACTTTCGTGTCCTGACCAAGCATGGCCACACTGACATCATTGGCAGGGAAATTACATTTTCCCACAATTTCCATTGCAGATTTTGGATTCTCTTGAGTATATTATGCTTTATTTCTACAGTTTCCATAAGTAGCGCAGATAACGGTCTGTTACAAATCGCCATAACGAATGAACAGTAACCAGGAAACCGCCACAGCTGAGAAACAAAAAATATCATCTTTATATCTCTTTGCCTGCACGTTTCTCGCTCTGAGCGGTAACATATGTCCAAGATACGAAATATGGTTCGAACGCCTCGAGATATTTGCATTCGCACGGTTTATAGGCGCTCCTTTCATCTTTCCTCTCGCAACCCATTTATAATTAGTTCACGCATCTACACCTAGCAGTATGCGGTTAAACAAGGACGAACCGCCACAAAGAAAACATCTGCTTCGTATACTGACGCCGGCGCGACCAAGCCAACTTTTTTGGTTATTGGGTGTCCACGACAAGAACTGCGGTTCAAACGCTTGGAAAAGTTGCATTCCAACAAGCACTCTCTTCAGTTCACAGACGAAAAGCCCAAAGAAAGCGGCTGCTTCAGATATTGGGCCATAAGTTCATCCGTGAGGATATTGGGGCTGGCGCGCTATTTCATCGTGAGAGGCAAAAACATGCTAGGAGACTGCACCAAATTTGTGAGGACGTAGGCCTACTCAGGGAGTGACAACTAGCTTTATTGAAATCCAGAGTTCTCATGTCCACATTAGACATTTGTTCGTGTGCCAGAGCATTCATCATGCCTTGGAGCCAATCGCCGCACTGATTATCCATTTCCCTCTTCTCTGCCAGACCTGCTTCACACGACCCGGTACGTGTCGACACCTCTCCTAAGACATTCCAGTCAAATGTAATCATTCAGACTGCAGTCATACATACCTCATTTAGGTACACGGTTCTCATTTAAACAATACACTCTATTCTATTTACACTACGCATATCGAAACCATGCGCTTTTCATTTATCGTCAAAGGTAAGTATTATCCAAATGTCTTGCTAAGTGTCAAGCGCTGTCCATTCTTAGACGTCTTTCATAACACTGTTTTTTTTTTGCTTTTTATAACCCACAAACAAAGAAAAGCGCCTTTGTGCAAGTTAGCTTGGAGCGTCTTTTGGAAATCACGATTACTGTTCCCTATGGCACGTTCAGCCAAGCACCCGGATCGGACGCAATCCCTGCTGAGGTCTACAAGCATGGAGGTCCCCTACTGATGGATCACCTGGCTGCGCACTTCCAGGAGATGTGGCGTCGAGGCGAAGTCCCGCAAGATTTCAAGGACGCAATCATCGTGCATCTCTACAAGCGCAAAGGGAATCGCCAAGTCTGCGAAAATCACCGAGGCATCTCCTTGCTGAACATCGCCGGGAAGATCTTCGCACGAATCCTCCTCAACCGTCTCAATAACCATCTCGAACAGGGACCACGAATATGATCTTCGCCGCCCGTCAACTTCAGGAGAAGTGCCAGGAGATGCGGACCCACCTGTACTCTATCTTCGTGGACCCGACGAAAGCCTTCGACACGGGAAATCGTGAAGGACTGTTGAAGATCATGCAGAAATTCGGCTGTCCGGAGCGATTCACTCAGATGGTGCGTCAGCTGCACGACGGTATGATGGCGCGAGACACGGACAACGGAACTGTCTCAGAGGCATTCGCAGTGACTAACGGAGTGAAGCAGGGATGCGTGGTGGCACTAACCCTCTTCAATCTCATGTTCTTTGCCATGCTGATGGACGCCTACCGCAACGAACGCCCCGGGATCCGCATCGCCTACAGGACGGACGGTCACCTCCTGAATCAACGGCGGATGCACTTCCAATCGCGTGTATCCACAACCACTGTTCACGAACTCCTCTTCGTCGACGACTACGCCCTGAACACCACCTCGGAAGGGGAGATGCAACGGAGCATGGACCTGTTCTCCGCCGCCTGCGAGAATTTCGGTCTGGTCATTAACACGCAGAAGACGGTGGTGATGCACCAACCGCCACCCCACTCACTCAGAGACACCAACGCGCCGCCGCAAATCAGCGTGAACGGAACCCAACTGCAGGTGGTGGAGAACTTCCCGTACCTGGGCAGTACTCTCTCCCTCAACGCCAAGATCGACGACGAAGTCGCCAACAGGATCTCGAAAGCCAGTCAAGCCTTCGGTCGCCTCCAAAGCACAGTTTGGAATCGCCACGGTCTTCAGCTGATCACGAAGCTGAAGATGTACAAGGCCGTCATCCTGCCGACACTACTCTATGGAGCGGAGACTTGGACGGTGTACGCGAAGCAGGCACGTCATCTGAACTACTTCCACCTCAGTTGTCTTCGTCGCATCCTGAGGCTAAAGTGGCAGGATCGAATCCCCGACACTGATGTGCTGGAACGGACGGGAATCCTTAACATCTACGCCATACTGAGGCAAAATCAGCTGCGCTGGATCGGCCACCTGGTGCGCATGGACGACGAGCGACTACCCAAACGACTCTTCTACGGAGATGTCGCGACTGGTTCTCGCCGTTAAGGAGGTTGGATTCGCCGTTTCAACGATACCCTGAAGTCCTCCCTGAAATGCCTGCAAATCAACCCCACCAAGTTGGAGGAGCTCGCACTCGATCGACCGACCTGAAGGAGGACAGTGAAGACAGGCGCTGCTATCTACGAAGCCAGCCGCATCGCTGCCGCCAAAGCAAAACGCGAAGTCCGCAAATCACAACTCCGCCCGCTACGCAACGCCGCGGCACAACCGCTTCCAACGTGTCCTCGATGTCAACGGACATTCCGGGCTCGAATCGGGCTTGTTGGACATCTTCGGATTGACTGCGCCTCTCGAACTGCACCAACCATCGTCCCCCCGCCCGCCTCTTCCTCCTCCTCTCCGCCGCCAAATAACTCTGACACTTCTTCTGACCCACCACTTCCATCCTCCTCCTCCTCCTCCTCCTCATCCTCCTACTCCTCCTCCTTCTCCTCCTCTCCTCCTCCTCCTCCTCTCCCTCCTCATCCTCCTCCTCCTCCTCCTCCTCCTCCACCACTGCCCCAACGGCGGCCGCTCAGGCGGCCGTCTCGCACATCACCAACCGCGACACAACAACAGACACCACCTCCACCTCTCCCGACTCCAACGACGAGGATCAGGACTACACCTGCCCTCACTGCGACCGCACCTTCACCTCACACATCGGCCTGGTCGGTCACTTGCGAATCCATCGCACAGAGACTGGCGAACCAGTGCCTGGAGCACCAACCTACACCCACCGCACTCGCCTCCACTGCCCACACTGCCCTCGCACCTTCACGCATCGCATGGGTCTATTCGGCCACATGGGCATCCACGAGAGCGGATTTGACCACAGTTCCGACACACCCACCACATCCAAAACACCCACCAGGCCCAACACCACACTCGTTCCATCGCCACACGCGCCCATCACCACCACCACCACCAACGCTTCCTCTACAGCTGACACCGACAACGTCGGCCTCTCATGCCCACACTGCCCACGCACGTTCAGCTCACGCATCGGCCTAGTCGGTCACTTGCGAATCCATCGCACAGAGACTGGCGAACCAGTGCCTGGAAAACCAACCTATATCCACCAAGCTCGACTCAACTGTCCACACTGTCCTCGCACTTTCAGGCAACGCATGGGCCTATTCGGTCACATGCGCATCCACGAGAGCGGAATTGACCACAATTCCGACTCACCTACCACATCCAACACATCCACCATGCCCAGAACCACCCCTGCTCCATCGCTATACGCGCCCATCACCACTGCCTCCTCTACAGCTGGCACCAACACAACCGACCTCTCATGCCCACACTGCCCACGCACGTTCAGCTCACGCATCGGCCTAGTCGGTCACTTGCGAATCCATCGCACAGAGACTGGCGAACCAGTGCCTGGAGCACCAACCTACACCCACTACGCTCATCTCAACTGCCCACACTGCCCTCGCACTTTCAGGCATAGCATGGGCCTATTCGGCCACATGCGCATCCACGGTGACCTGCGGTAGACAAACGCCGGTTACCCCACACATCCACACACTCCCTACCTTGCTCCACCATCACCACCACACATCAACACGCACCCAACTGCCACCTCCCACGCAAGTGGGAAGTCCGCATCTCGACTCGGTCCCCATGCGGCTTCGGCTGCACGGGACTATCCCGACACGTCAAGCGTCGTGGATAGGAAGGTTGCTGATTGACGCCCGATCTCGGCTCACGCAGTTCGTCGCGTTGTGTGTGTGTGTGTTGTGTGGAGTGGCGGACTGATGGGCTGGGGACGGGCTGAATCTGCACCTTCCACAGCCCTCTCACGCAAGTGAGAGACACGCCGTTCAATCCCCATTGTGTGAAATCCTGGTGTAGTATGTATCGGGGGCCAGGTCGTGCTGTGGCGCGCGCAGTCATGGTCAGTCGACCATGACTGCCACACCGCCCATTCCCCACTCCAGTCTGCTGACCGGCTCGGACAGCGGCTGGGGTGTGGGAGTGGGAAGGGAGAGTGAGGTCGACGACTCAGCGCACTTTCTCCTCACTATAAACAATCTGACGCGCTTGAAGCTATCACGGTGCGTTAAAAGCCGTGGCTTGGAAGGTTGCCAACTGACGGGGTAACTTGGACCTCCTCCTTGACTGGAGGCGGTCTGAGAGTCAGGCTGCAATGGCTCCTTAGTAATGTGGCCTTTATGGCACTCCCACCACAGTGTGGGATCCGAGCCAGGCGTTGGCGGTACGCCTAGGTGCGGCTTCGGTCGTGCCAGCCTCCAAATCTCTGTTGTTGGTTGAAATCCTGGTTATTGTTGTGTGGACCAGGGGGTGTGGTGGAACGCCAAGTTGAGGATCCGTCCGAGCCATCCACCTGCTGCCCCCTCGTCTCCGGTCTTCTGGACTCTGTGTTGAAACCAAACTCGTGCGAGGGAGGAGAGAGTGTAGGTAGATGCTACGCAAGTCTACTGGCACTATAAACCCCTGCGTAAGTCACCGTCCCTGCTCCCACTGCTGCTGCGACTGTGGGGCACACGGTGGACATCATCGAATCCGATGGTCGAACTGTCATGTCAAGTGACATCTTACTTGTCCTCATCACAATCTGCTCCCGTGTTAAACCGAAAAATGTTGTCTCTGGTCAACTCACTTATCTGGCAGATGTGCTTTTTAACAAATAGCACACACCTCCAGACCTTTTAACCTAGAGCAGTGCACGTTAAGCCCGTGAAGACAAAGGATTACGCACCCAGTGTGCATACTTCCGCCTAACGATCGACCGAAGTTTTGCCAGATGTCAGTTCTGTCGTGGGTGACGCCAGGAGCGTGTGTGTGATGTGGAGGTTAGCATGGCTGCCGTCCAAGCAGTCGATCCGGTTTAGACTCCCGGCACACGCAGGCCTACTCATCTTATCATCGCTTTTCACACTAGGTGTCTTTTGCGCAGACATACTGGACGAGGGAAGGGTTCTTCTGGGCGCCAGGACTTCTCGATGATTCTCACTCCTACTTTTACTCCTGGGAAGCTGAGAAAGTATCGCGCAAGCACGGATTAGCTGGAGCGTAGAGGTGTTTTGATCGCAACGGCATCTAAGCGAGAGCTCTAAATAGTGGATCGGCGAATGTCGTTTAAGTACAACTGAACACCGTTATGTGAGGAGGAGGAGGAGGAGGAGGAGGAGGAGGAGGAGGAGGAGGAGAGCGTACTGAGAAAGGCGAAAGAAGGAGGCATGGAAACACGCAGTTTTCCTAAATTGTACAATCTCCCCTTTGCTTACGCATTAATAAGACATTGACTGGTGCTCATTTGGCGTACTCGGGTCCTCTTTAACAATGAAATGAACTTACTATGCTACTTTTCTATGCTTAGGTTGCAACAGTGCAGGTTAACTCTAATTTCACATGACATCAACAGTCACTTCAAGCTGCAAAGGTAGCTAGGATAGGACAGAGAGACTAGCAGATGTTTTTTGTGATGCTTGCGCTTCAAAAGTACACAAACTAAAGGCCTGCGCCGCGAAACCGGCACAAGGCACCGACCTTTTGGATTCGAGTTCGTGCGTCGTGGTACTGTTAGTGTGAACAGGGGCTGCGCTGTGGACGTGCTGGAGCTCTGTGCCCCAACTGACCGGCTGGCTACAGCTGCCTGTGCTCCAAAGAGATCCCGCCTGCCACGGATTTCCCCTGGCGGGGCCCAGCCTCCAAGTAGTACTTTAGATTCCACAGGGCAAGGCGGAGGAAAGCGAGAGTGTGAACTTTGATTGTAGCGAAGTTTGCATAACGTCTTTGAATAAATAGGACATGATGGCACAGCGAAAGTGGTAACTGCTGAGTCTTGAACAGATAAGGGTGGAGCAAAGCGTAAGTTCACAGACGGCTTGCGCAACATAAGCCTTCACCCCTAAGGGGCCTCGGTCTCTGTTGTTACTACACCACAGTATCGTCAGGTTAGGACGGGCGCAAGATCACAAACTCACACGAGATTTAAGAAGAAAGCCATCAACTAATCAGGACGTTGCGTTTGAGGACCGCTTCAATGATATTTGAAGAGTTGCTTTCAGGGGAGTGTACCAGGAAGGTGGAGATGGATAAGTGAGGTGCACTGAGGGATTGGCCCATCCTGGTCCATGTGGTTGATCCGACCGCTTATAAAGTACAACATTTTGGTCCGGAATTCTATGGCCGCGTCCTTCTTGTCAATTCCAATGAGCACAGCAGTCTGCGTATCCTGGCATACGACGCTGAAAGGTCTTGTTATGGCGATTCCACCGACTTGCGCACACAGCCGTACAAAGACCGAAACATGACTGCTGTCACTCACGTCCTTTTTCACCTCAAAATCGGCCGAGAGTATTCGTGGTGGAGTCACTGATAGCGTAAGCGTGGGTTGTCGGAGGTGCATGGTTATGTATCGAGAGTTGCCGCCGACACCTCGAGAAGATGGGGGGTGGGTAATCTTCGAGCCTGACAACCGAAGAGAGGACGTTTAACATGAATTTGGTCACATTTCAGTCCAAGTTCGACTTCAGTGCCATCCAAATGCCATTAAGTGTAAGAGGAAGAAGATGCTTCCATCGTCTTTCGATGGGAGCGATCGACCGTACCGAATCCTTTTTCATGTCAGCTCAGTTAAACATTCTCGTGTGGTTCTCCCCTGAGATTCCGATCTCAGGATACGAGGGAGAGCGGAGACTGTGAGACACAGTCCTAGACATCGAGATCAAATTGATGGGAATGGAGAGTTAAACTGCTGTAACGGCTTTTGTTGGCACCGGTGGTTAGGCGAGTGCCCAGAAGCTGGTTACCATTACCTACCACGTCGCCAGGGGGGCCGTCCACCGTTTACGTAGGAGCAATGGCGCTAGGGTCAGTCTGGGGATAGAATTAAAGATATTCAGTAGAGGATTTGGGCAGAGCGTCAGCCAACCAGCTCAGTCCCTGGCCGATTGATATGACAGAGAGCAGAAAGGAACCTCGACAGCAACAGCAGCAGCAGCAGCAGCAGCAGCAGCAATTCCATCGAAGGCGGTAAATAGGAAAACATGCTGAGACTAAAATTGTATCTCCTGTACTCGAGTTCTCGAAACCACTATTAGATAAAATCCTTGGCCAACTCACAGCCAAATCATTTTTTCGGCTCTAAATTAACAGCAGCAAGATGTTGACAGTTGACATAGAAAAGTATCATACAAAATACATCTGGACGTACTGGGTGGAAATAACCTCTGTCAGATAGTGGTTTAACCCTTAAAATGGCCGCCGTTTTCCAGTAAGGCATTTGAACCTCTGTGGAATGAGATACTATGTCAGTTTATGGATGAAAGTGGCAGAAGGACCCTCCCTGTGCGTATTCACGTAGCAGGCATAAAGAACGTCCGTCGTCCTCTAAAATGGCAAATGCCCATAGTGCATTTTTCAGGGCTTCAGTTTTAGGCGTTTAGAAAGAAGGCGAGTAAAGCATGTACTGTGGAGGCTAAACGTATTCTAGTAGAACGCGTCGTCGGATTCCTACACGTCCAGGGGATCATTAGTCAGTAAAACCTGCTTGGCAACATTTCCTTCTCTTTTTGTACAGTCTTTTCAGTTCCTTAAACACAAAGACGTTTTTGACATCGGGCAGAAAATGCAGAACCCTCGGTCTCTCACTCTGGTGAGCTCTCTGTTTGAAACATTCGCTTATCAAATCCCATGCTCATTCAATCCTGCGCTCAAAAACACTCAAATATGCAAGCCCATAGTTTCATAACTGTAGATGACGTACTTACCTGATTTGGGTAGGTATGTTATATTAAGGTCGAGTTTCTGGCTAAGCTCAAGAAAATTAGCAACTTTGGCGTTACGGTTGGGTTCAAGGCTGGGGTTGTGTTTAATATTAATGTTAGGGTTGGGGCTATGTTTAGATTCCGGATTCAATTTGCCTTCTGCTTTCAGTCGTGGCCAATCCAGCCTTCTTCAACCAATAACCCTGAATTATTTCTTTTCGTAATTTTACATACCTTGCATCGCACCCCCTAAGTTGCGCGGTCGGTTCC